GCACCTACAGGTGATACTCGCTTGACAAGAAAACGAAGAAAAAACGATAACGAGGAGTTAGTATCACTCGATGACTCTGTGCGAGGAGATCACCATAGAAAGGTATTGTTCATGTAATCCCTTTTACAGATCCAATACTTAGTTTTATTTCAGGCACCTCCTGAGAAAAATATCGAAAGAATAGTATTTGGGTGCTACGAAATCCAGTGTTGGTATTATTCCCCTTATCGGCTGAAGAAGAAAACCGTAAAACGGTTGTATGTTTGCGAAAATTGCCTTCTTTACACTGATGACGTGGAAATGTACAGATGTCATTTGGTTCGTCACGTGAAGAAACTCATCCCATATTTGTCATGTTCGTTTATAGGCAAAAGACTGTGAACGAGCGAATCCGCCTGGCGAATTGATCTACGAAGAAGGCGATATCCAAATATATGAAGTCTTTGGTGCCTTGCAGCAGGTTTGTCTGTACCTTAGCTTCTGACGGTAGAGTTTCAAAGGCAGCGTCCCCTCAACTTAGTGGGTATCGAGAGATTTTGCAACTTTGTAGTGACGGACCCCCCAAACAACCTATCAGTGAAGTTTGGAGCGAAAGTGCGCTTCTGGAAAGCTCAAAATCTCCTGCGAATTCTTCCGGACCCGCCCATTTTCAGGCTCCGTCCACTTCTTCCATGTAATTCCGAGCGGGGACATGGAGAGCTTTGAAAGAAGTCATTTTTGCCATTTACAAGCGCCGAAAGGCTTAGGTATGGCTGCATGGCGAAAAGGCTCCAAAAAGGTAAAAAAACTAGAAAACGAAATTTTGAGGGGACACTGCTTTAAGGTGACTCTACAAGTTTGATGCATTTAGCATCGTTTCTCGGTGCTGATGTGTCGAACTATAGTTTATTTTGTACTCTGAATCCTGAATTATTGTTCACCTCAATCATTCAGTTCTATTGCCAACGGCTTTGTCTTCTTGCCAAACTGTTTATCGATCATAAAACGTTATGTTTCGACGTGGAAAATTTCATCTTTTATCTGCTTTGCGAGGTTTGTCACGTCACTTATAGTCTGCTTGTAATACCAACTTCAAATACTCTTCTAGACTGATAAGGATGGAGCCCACATAGCAGCAATGTTTTCGAAAGAAATGCACTCTTCCAACAACCTGGCATGTATCATGACACTGCCTTGTTACCAGAGAAAAGGTTACGGAAATCTCTTGATTCAACTCAGTAAGTTTTTTTCGAGTTTTTGTTTATCGTGGACTATTTTTGAATTGTTTTTGTCTAGGTTACGAGATGTCAAAGAGGGCCAAGTACCCTGGAACTCCAGAACGGCCTTTCTCCGATCTTGGTGAAATCTCCTACAGAAAATATTGGCTTTTTGTCTTACTGGAATTCTTTGACTCAGCAGTCATGCGAAAGGTTCGAATGCTTTGCTTCCTGAATGCTCACTTTTGGCTCAGTTTGGACGATTAAGGTAGAAGACGTCACTGTAGACGATCTTGAAGCGTTGGTTGGCATTAATAAAGACGATATCAAAGACACCATGGAGCCCATTGGACTGCTTTCTCATCTCAAAGGTTTTGATTTGCTTTTACCTTTTGCCACAATCCATTGATGTTTTTGAATTTTAAGGAGGTACATACATTGTTCACAACCCAAAATTGGACCAAGAAAATGGTGTGGAAAGACCTAATCCACCTCTCAGACGTCTTGATCCAAGATACCTCAACTGGATCGCGAAAAGTTTTGACAGGCCAAAGCGGCGCAATTGAGCTTTGCTGCCAAAACGCCCTTAGCGTAAAATCGATGATTGTTGCTTTTGTTGTATTCATGTGATTCACGACAATTTCGCATCTGGATTTGACAGTGAATTGTATAATCGCTTTTGTCAGTATTTGTAAATCTAGATCATGGACGATCTCTTGTTCATAATTCACGTTTTTTTACTGTCTGCTAGTGCCCGGTATTGGTATAACGTTACCCACCGCTTGTTAGATTTTCATTCAGTTAGTTTTACGTTAATTTGCTTTATATGTTTAGTCATACACTCTCTGTCTGCTATCAATGGCTTAGGTTTATCTAAGCCCTTCTAAACTTTTTTGTGGATTTAAGCTTGCAAGCTTTTTGTTATGCGGGTATTTTTTTTCGACTGTTTGCTTGTTATCTTGTTACTCTCTTTGTTACGAATTACATGTAAATCCTCTTATTTCGTACACGTGGCAAAGTACCATATCAGAATTTTAAGCGCGACTTAGTGTTCTAATAATGACACTGAGAAGTTCCAGAAGTTTTTGTTATTTTGTGATTATGGAGTACGAGTGTCGCGGTATGAGGCGCCGATAGGTTTGGATCGGACTAAGGTTCGATTCCGTCCTGACACAACCAAGCTTTTTACCCTCGAGGTGTTAAATTGGTACTGGAAGTAAAGTAACTGGGAGGAAAAAGCACTGTTGTATGTTGAGCATGTAAGCATGTTATGTAAAGCATGTTATAATCGACTGATTCTGCAATTTATGTAAAGAGAATGCGTTAGACCTCGGGCATCACGCGACAGCAGCGACGCAGTTTGACAGTGCTCTAACTGTCTATAACTCATCCTAGCGCATTCTGAATAAACAGAAATGGGGCAGTTTATCAGTCTGCGAAACTTGTACATAATGCGAATTTGTCCGCAGGTGTTGGATTTGAAGAGACTGACTGATAGCAGATCCCGTGGCGATTGGGAATCGCGTGAGATATGCCCGGGCCCCGGGACCGTAGGCGCAAGTCCTCGAAAGCACACCCAGTCCTTTATTCTGTATTTCTAACAGAAATAGCATGGATGGATGTGTGCGCGAGCACTCACTTGCGATATCAATTGGAGAGAAGTTCGTGCATCGCATATTTATGACAGCACAAAGGCACTGGAGCTTGTAAGCGCTTCGTGTAAATGAAAAGCTGAGGAAAAATGAGTTTTGCCTCCGATATTCTACGGCAAAACCTCTGTTTTGC